CTAAGAATCAGAGAAACTGAAATTGTTTTGTAAAAATGAAGTTTCAGCTGCCAATTTACAGTGCTCTGACCGACACAAAGTGGATGTCAGTGTGTGCCATTCCACGATTCATAATGAACAGCCATGACTCAGAAGATCCACTTGTCAGTTTCTGACCCAGTTTAATGACGAGAGTTTCCGCCGCAGATTAAAATAACTGTGTTTTATCAGAAGTTCGTACATTCGACTAGTATTCTTAGTACAATTAATTTTTCTGTTGCATTCAGGAACCTCATTTTTTTTTTATTACATTATGTAGTTCCAGAGCCAGCAGCTCCAGAAATAACCCAATGCACGACATTAAACCATTCCACCAAAAACTTATAATTCATGGAACTTATTTCCAACAACAAACTAGTAGTTTCTTTTATATCTTTCACAATTATTGAGTTTTAAAGGAGATAATGTACAAAGTCACGTTTCGGTGATCCATTCAAAATTGCTTAAGTAAACTACAGCGCAACGTATAAAAGATAGAGGAATAGTAAGCATACAATCCATGGTCAGGGTAATCACATTGAAATAACACTTTCTAATGAGAAGGGAAATGGCAGCAAAGAAAAGAGGGGGCAGAGAAAAGAGGGGGCAGAGAAAAGAGTTGGCCGAATATGAGTGGCGTAGATCAGTGTTTCTCAACCTTTTTTCAGTCACAGCACCCTTTAAAAGTGAGCAAAACCTTGGAGGCACAGCACTCTAAATACACATCGTGAATGTAAAAAATGAGGTGTGGTTCCCTCCAAATCTATACCACAGCCTTATTCTAGACAGAGGTCTGGTATGGATTTTAAGAGGGGACCCCACACAGACAAACAAAATCACGCGGCATGTACCCCTTTACATCAGAGCCCACCTTTGGAGAGCAGTAATCTATCCAAGGTGACCAAACCCAGTGAAACGTTCCATAAGAATAATTTAGGATAGCATTACATTTTCCCTCTGTTTAACCTCCACTGAGCTGAGAGTGCATTTGAAGGGGGAAATTAGAACAGCCATTTTATTTATAACATTTTGTTTCAATCAAGCATTGCCCAACATCCTGCATATACCTTATGTGATGCCCACCCGAGAATGCCTCTAACTTTATTTACAAGGTAATAGGTTCCTATGTACAACAGATAGAAGAATCGCAAACATGGGTCCGTCACCTCTGCAGATGCCATTAGAAAGAAGATTTACACTTAAAAGGACATAAATAGCCAGGTTCCCACGCTGAAACATATACATTGTGTAAAGACCCCAGCCAGTCAGAGAAATGTTGATTCCAATACTCTGTATGGTATTGCTCTCCATGAATGCGTGTACAATAAATACTATTACTCTTAATTCAGCTTCAGCAGTCAACGTTATTTAAACTCCTGAGTTTGGGTTTCCCTGACACCTTGTTTCCAGGACCTAGCTACTGTTTGATTATGAAGGTGGCTAAATTTAGCTTCATGTTTGAACAGAAAACTAGTAGTCTGAGGCTGTACAATTTTAAAAAAAAAAAAAAAAGCCGTAATTCTTCCAGCAGAACTCTGATGTCTTTTGCCCTATACTGGGTCTTAAAGTTGATTTCCACTTTTGCAGCCAAATCAAGGCAACACCTACTTTATATTTGTTACATGTTCCCGGTCATGGGTTAAATGCTTATTTTTTTCCAAGTTTTACTTACCTTATTTCTGGTGCCCACAGGCTTCTTCCTCTCCATGCGATCGGTCCCCCAAAGCCACTTCTCTTTGGTGCTCTGTCTACCAGTAGTACTGCACTGCAATTGAGGATGCTGAGGGCCCACCCACAACCAGGGGCAAGAGGGAAGAGGAGAGCACCGGCTGTCGGGATGAGTAAAACTGATTTTAATGGTACCCTAGACAAAAATGAGCATTTGACCCTTGGGGGGGGGGTGACAGTAAGGGTAGTTTTGAAGTTCAACCTTAAGGAAGTTTTAACCTTAAGGCATACACAGCTGACACTGACAAATCCAGGCTGTGTATTGCTAACGCTGGGGAAGGCACTGTGTGTATGTCTCTTTGTTTATCCTCCCATCCACACCCATCAGTTAAACTAATCAGCCCATTGTTAGACTCTCAACTCAAAGTGTGTATTGGGACAAAGCAGCCTCCTACAAAAGTGGTTTATACCAGTTATTTCTAGACCGGGAGGGGGTGGGCTTCTTTCTATAAAGCTCAAATGCTTTGTGTTTAAAGGCTTGTGTCATTCTGCTTACCTCAAAATGAGTGCTGCCTGATTCTTGGGGTAATGGTAACAGGGTTTGGAATACGTTCCATTTGGGAAGCCATATCACTGACGGAGGTGCTCAGTCGGGGTGCCAGGGAGTCCGTCAGACACCAAATGCCCTCATCCAGCTGGCAGAAGAGTGAAGCAGCAGAACGACAAGGTCATCTTGCTGCTCCCACTGCTTTCCCTCCAATCAACTTTTTTCAGGATATTTGCCTTCTGCTTACTTGATTGGTTTCCAGTACTGCCCCTGCACCCCTCCCAGTCTTCAGGGGATTAAAAGAGGCTGAAATCGAGTCAAACGTTGTTACTTCCACTAGTCTCACATTAACAAATACTTGTGTTGTATTCATGCATACAGAGCTGCATTAATGCATGTCTTTTATATCTGCCTGCAGTTCAGATTTAAAAACGGCAGGAGTTATTTTGGAAACTTTTTTTACTAACGCAGCCTGAAGTCAAAAGAGCCGAGTGTGGCGCAGGTTTTGGAGTTCGAAATAGATTGCATGAGATGAAAGCCACACATAGTGGCATTTTGTTTTCTTAGGCTCCCGGCTAATGTCTTGTGCACCTGACGTTTCCGCTGCGCATCCAAAATATACATTGTTCTCTCCTACTTAAACAGGACTGACTGACCCATTATTCTGCAAATTGATCCAATATAGCAGCAGACACACAACGCGGCTGTTTATTTTAATGCGTCCGCCGCACAAAGCCATCATGTGGTCACCTGCTGAGTTCTATTTAGAGCTCACCTTGTTCTACGGATTCCAGCTTGCCACTTTGATATTGCAGGACTCGGGAGCGTGGCAGCAAAGGTGACCTTAGATGACATTGCTCTGGGAACCGCTAAAGAGATTTCCTTCTAAAATGCACAGTGAGAATAATCCATTCTAGGCAATACAACAGCCCTCATTATCCCCATTAGCGTTTAGTTTATTAACTGGCAATGCAGCCTGTATTGCAAATATATTAGCCATTCCATACCTAAGCTTTCAGCATTTTAAAGAGCACCTGTCTTTCTGCAGCATTATATGTAATGCTGTTACAGCACAAGTGGACAGGTGGAGAATACAAAGTTACCAGCACTCCAAATAAATGTACACCATTTATTGTAAACTGGCATCAGGCAAGTCAAAAGCATATGGACATGTTGGGGCCTTACAAGGTTCACAGTGTGCTGCTAATGACAGTTGGGGGGGGGGGGGGGG